CTTCATTTGGGTTTCAGTAATTTTTCTTGGTTACATTGCCCTTGCTGAATCCCAAAAAACTTTTTTAAGCACTTCATATTCCTAAAAGTAGGTGACACAGGGATCTCCCTCCCCTAAAAAAAAGGATACCATATTCTCAGTCAGTGCTAAAATGGCCCTACTTAGTGTTAACTGTTTTCACTGTGATTTCAATGATGTTAGGTAGATATGGGAAGGGGCTAATTTTGGTCATTGGGTAATTTGACTCTTAAGTAAATTAAGCGAGGCATGACACAATAATAATAAGCAAGAGGAAGAAGGCCTGGCAGATGGCCTGCGGGGTAACAGCTACAATGTTTTCTGCACGCTGTATTTATGCCACTTTCATGAGTGAGGTGTTAATGGCGAATTGTGCAAACCCTCTCTTTCTGCAGATTCTGCTTCATGTCAGTAGAAATGGACAGCAGCAGCTTTATTCAGTTTGACGTGCCCGAGCACAGCAGCACCGTTCTCAGCCAGCTAAACGAACTCCGCCTGCAAGGGAAACTATGTGACATCATCGTCCACATTCAGGGTCAGCCGTTCCGAGCCCACAAAGCAGTCCTGGCCGCCAGCTCCCCGTATTTCCGGGACCATTCAGCATTAAGTACCATGAGTGGCTTGTCAATATCAGTGATTAAAAACCCCAATGTCTTTGAACAGTTGCTTTCGTTTTGTTACACTGGAAGAATGTCCTTGCAGCTGAAGGATGTTGTCAGTTTTCTGACGGCAGCTAGCTTCCTTCAGATGCAGTGTGTCATTGACAAGTGCACGCAGATCCTAGAGAGCATCCATTCAAAAATCAGTGTGGGCGATGTGGACTCGGTGACAGTCGGCGCCGAAGAGAACCCAGAGAGCCGCAATGGAGTTAAAGACAGCAGCTTCTTTGCCAATCCGGTGGAGATCTCCCCTCCATATTGCTCGCAGGTGCGGCAGCCCACCGCGAGCAGTGACCTGCGGATGGAGACAACCCCCAGCAAGAATCTGCGCGGCCGCTTACAGGAGGAAGGGCATTCGGACCGAGGAAGCAGCGGAAGCGTGTCCGAGTACGAGATTCAGATAGAGGGGGACCACGAGCAAGGCGAGCTGCTGGTGAGGGAGAGCCAGATCACGGAGGTGAAAGTGAAGATGGAAAAGTCCGACCGGCCTAGCTGCTCTGACAGCTCCTCCCTAGGGGACGATGGCTACCACACCGAGATGGTCGATGGGGAACACGTGGTGGCGGTGAACGTGGGCTCTTACGGCTCTGTGCTGCAGCAAGCTTATTCCTACTCCCAAGCAGCCTCCCAGCCAGCCAGCGTGTCAGAAGCTTTTGGAAGTTTGAGTAATTCTAGCCCATCAAGGTCCATGCTGAGCTGTTTCCGAGGAGGGCGTGCCCGCCAGAAGCGGGCTCTGTCGGTCCATCTGCACAGTGACCTGCAGGGTTTGGTGCAGGGGTCTGACAGCGAAGCTCTGGTGAATAACCCCGGGTATGAGAGCAGCCCCCGGGAGAGGAGTGCAAGAGGGCACTGGTACCCATACAATGAGCGGTTGATCTGCATTTACTGTGGGAAGTCTTTCAACCAGAAAGGAAGCCTAGACAGGCACATGCGCCTCCATATGGGAATCACCCCCTTTGTGTGCAAGTTTTGTGGGAAGAAGTACACACGGAAGGACCAGCTGGAGTACCACATCCGGGGCCATACTGACGACAAACCATTCCGCTGTGAGATTTGTGGGAAGTGCTTTCCATTCCAAGGTACCCTCAACCAACACCTACGGAAAAACCACCCCGGTGTAGCTGAAGTCAGGAGTCGCGTCGAGTCCCCCGAGGGAACCGATGTGTATGTGGAACAGAAACTGGAGAATGATGCATCGGCCTCTGAGATGGCCCTAGATTCCCGGATGGAAATCCACACAGTGTCTGATGCCCCTGATTAAGATGGTAAACAAGTGCACCCAAACAAAGCACATTTATCAATGCATTCTTGTGATTTGCTTTGTTGTAATCTTTGATTTTTCCAACCATCTGGAAATCTCTTTGGTCTCTTGGCATTTTTCTAAGGTTTCTGGATGGAACACTTTCTTGTGTTTATCCTCTTCCCCCCCTTTACCTCCCCCAAGGAGCTCAAAGCATGAAGGGCAACATATCCAGGGAAAACACAGGCTGACAGTATTCCTCATTGGCTGAATTCTTTAGTTCCAAATCTGCCAGTGATTTAGCTATGCCAAGTGGTTGACCCTCCATTCTCTGCCAAGAGGCGCACTCTGATTGTGTGTGCTGGCACCGTGCATTACCAAGAGAACCTGGGATGCTGTCAAGCCAATACAAATGGGTAACCTTTTCTAATTTAAATGACTTTTAGGGGGTAGTTAGACAATTTATATATATATATAATAAAGTGATTATTATATATAGTATATATACAGTCTCAAATTTGATTTTATTCTAGTTGAGGTGAATGTAAGAGGAATATATAATTTAATACAATGTGAACAGGGTTTTTGACTCTGTCCGATCGATCCCTACCTAATATGTTAGGGTATTACCCCTTTACCTTCCTTACAAAAGAATGTTAATGCTTTTCACATCTTATTAGTCGTTGTGTCCAAAAGCAAGCAAAGCAAATCACAGTCTTCATAGCTCTGCTTCACAACAAATACATAAGCCAAATGCCATAAAATATATTCTACTCCAGTTGGAAACCGTTTGGAATTTTTGTTCGTTGTCCAGTTGGTGAGCTGGATGACCTGTGGTGCTGACCTTTTTACATAGTGTCATAGTAGTCAACCCCAACCCAAAGGAGCAGTGGTTTTCCATGTTTTTACTGGCCTACAAATCTACCTTCATTCCGTACTGTAGAAACATACATACCAGGTAACTACAGCAAATCTCTGTCTGTCACAAGCGAGTCCTCGCACTAAAGGAAAGGAGTTTGTAGCTCGGGCTACCACGTTCTCCAAGCAGTGTTGTGCTCTTTTTCCTTCTTCTTTTCAAACAGCTAGTTCAGGTGCACAGCAACTTTTTCTACATGCAGTTCCCAGGGAAACTGCAGAACTTGGAATTTGTACTTTTTGTAAAAATATACTCTATGGGAATTGCAAGCAATATATCTTAGTATTGTGTGTGCTAATGAGAGCCTCAGGGGCTCTCCCACTCTCTCAGTGTTTCCTGCTTAAAGAAACCACAGTTAAAAAGCCCTCTAAGATACTCTGTGTGTCACCAAATCGGTGTGTGTCACCATTTTGTTTTTCTTTTTGTTAACGTGGTGCTATTTTCATGTTTCAGTATCTTTTAGATCAGTATAGTAGAGAAAATGTGAAATATTACAGTAATAGTGAATTATAATTTCTTTCCTCTCTTGAGTTCATAGCTTGAAAAGAGGCCTCAAAAGCATGTACTGGCAAATGTATGACTGTCTAAAAACTTAACCAAGTCCTAGCTGAACAGTAGTACGTTAGCGACTCCTCGGCTCTATTGTTGGCTCGTGTATACTTCTAGTGTACAAAGAAAGCTTTCCCAGATTGTGTTGGTACAGTATCCTCTGGCAGAAAGTACATTTGTGAGTCATTTGGTTATGAGTTTGTGCTTTAGACTGCTGTGGGAATGTCAGTGCTCAAACCCTCAGCCTGAGAACCTTGGCTCTGAAAGCTCAGGAGTGGTTCTCCACGGGAAAACAGCAGAATCATGGGAAAGAAAAACACAAGTGAGAGACCAACCTCAGAGGTTATGACTTGCATTAAAGGAATACAAAAACAGTCATTTGCTGGGTTCCCATGCTTTTTTGGCTCTTAAAAATACAAATAATTGTGGATCTTTTTTTTTTTTTTTTTTTGAGGTTGGGAGGGTGTTGTTTTGAGAAAAAAAAATCATCAAAGCCCTTTGTGTGTAGTAGACCCCCGGAGGTGGTAGCTGTGCAGTAGCTTCTCTTTGGCACATAGGATCTGCTCACGTGTGAACTGCTGCACTACACGTCAGTGTTACTACATACAGATTACACTCTTAATTCCCGCTGCTCCCGAGGAGCAGCTCTTGCTAAACCGGGTATATAGTATGCCTTTTTCCTCGTCAAACTGCCTAAGTAAGGGGCTTGTTCTCTCCCTGAAGCACTTGTTCAACTCCTGTTAAAGCCACGTGCCTCAAGGGAAGGCTGGACCCCAAAGTGTTTACCCACTTAACTATGTCCTGGGGTTTCAGGTAAATGTTTGTGGATTCTTTTTTTCTTACACGAAAAAGTTTGGTTTTGATTTTTTTTAAAGAATTAAATGCAAAAAAAAATGTGTTTTGATACAAATTCAATTGTGACAAGAAATGCCCAAATGATGGACATGAGAGGTCAGGCTCAGGGAAGGAATCTCCTTTTCACTCAGGCTTGGGGCCTTCTGAGAGGTCTCCAGAGCTTTCTGCGACATGTGAGACAAGTGAGGAGGGGAGGGCACTTGGGGCAAGCACCTAGAATGTCCTGTTCTTGTCATTTTGTCAGTCTTAACCTTATACCTAAAGTTCTTTGTATTTGTAAATTTGTTTAACTGGTTTGAGTTTACCAAAGAGTGACTTATCCAAAATTGTCTCTGACAAAAATAAACATTGCTTTGATTGTACAGTTCAGGTTCAAACATTGTAATGGGACTGTTAAAGGGGCAGAAAATTGATTGAGTTTCTCTCTAATAATCATGATTCCGCATTTGTGCAAGTTTTACTTGCTCCCATTCATGTTGCTAACACTTTACCCTTGCCACTGCTTGCAGTGTTAAGAATGAATTCTCAAGCCATAACACAGTACTGTAATGTTCCGCAGGGCTTCGAGGGAGGCAGTGCGTAGACCAGCACACAGCTATGTAGCCTCTCTGAGCATTCCTACTGTCATGTTTCCCAGTGTACGCGTGGCTGTGGGAGATTAACTCCATTCAGACCGGGCAGCAGCAATTAATTGTGCCTTGTCACACAAGGATGTGCCAGGACCACAGAACAGAAACATTCTCTCCCCGAAGTTCACTTCCTGTCTCCACAGATGAAGTACGCTGTGTAACTCCTTAGAACAACTTTTTTTTTTTTTTTAATGCAAAGGTCCCTATTTCTGTACAGGTTTAGGCTAGATGTTTCCATGATAACCGATGCAGAAATCTGTAAAGACACAGTGATATGTGAAGAAGTCTTTTACAGTGAAATATATCCTGAATCCGTATGGGCTTGTTCATAATTGAGTCTCTTCTTGAGCTACCTTTTTCAATACGTAGACAATGTGAAACCAGTGACAGCGTCCCTTTCTATAGTTGCTTAACTTGTTATTACAAACTGTGAAAACAAAGAATTTTATACTTTTACTAACATTTGTGGTTTTAAACAAGTTACTTTCATTCTAATCGGTCCCCTATCTTTTAATTTCTACAACTGTAAATACATTTAGAAATTATATTTGTAAATATAGTATCTGATGACAAGTTAATTTCTCAGTCAGTGGAAAGCCTCCCAATTGGCTCTGCCATTAGTTCTCTTTTTTTATTTTAAACCGAAAACAGAAAGGATACTGTTGGTTCACTGTTGAGCAGAATACTGTAGGAACTAAGTGGATAGTTTGTTGTTGTGTTTTTGTTTTTTTTTAAATAATCTGCCAGAGCATGAGTAGATGTCTTTCTAATAATAACAGTCATAACCAAGTCTTTCTTTATCCCATAGCCCAGACCATAATCCTGCGTATTTTTGTGTGTGGTTTTGTTGTTATTTTGGTTCGTAGCTAGAGTTTAGGAAGAACTTGCAGGAACACAAAGCAAGGGCTGGGAGGAAAACCATCCATGTGAATGAGCTTTACTCTAAAGAAATCAGTGCATTTTATTTTAACACCTTTTTCTATTACTGTGATTTTTTTTTTTAATGTTGTCGTCCTCCTTGTTGTTAAACTCTGTAATGGTTTCCTGTGAAGCCCCCACTGAAAGGGACTCAAATATGCAACACCTAAACTATTTTCCAAGGGCTCACGCCCCTTGAATGGTGCTTCTAGACTGGTCAGGGTTATTTATTAAATTTTATATATGAAAGTATTGGGGAATTGTGTAAATTCTTTATACGAAACTGTCTAGTTCATAAGTCATAGATTTCATAATACTCAGTGCAACTGAACTAATAATACAGGTTCAGAAAAGTCATTCACATTGTTCCAAGTTTGTAATGGTTGTCACGTCACACACATCTTTTTCAGTAAGTGCCAGAGTGTTCCCACTGTTTTCTGCCCAGCACTTGACTTCTTGGGCCAGAAGAGAATGCAGGTTTTCTCTGCTTTCCTCCCTGGGTCTGGGCACACACAGGGCAATTGTAGTTCTTGATCGAATCCTGGAGTAAGCTTCACTTGGTGCACCTTGTAGCAGATCCAGTAAACAGACCTCTTGCTGCCCCTCAGTGACAAGTATGCTGTGAATTCAACCTTTGGACTTGCTGCCCAAGCCTCTGGTTGCTGCCCTGGCTATATAGTAAGAGGTAAACTTACCTGGTTTGTTTGAGAATGACCATTTTCCTAATGTGAAAACCATCTCTCACCATTTTTATTACTAGGGCTAACATTTTTTTTTCCGTTATAAATGGTTGAGCAATTTGAATGACTTAACACAGTGTCATTATCTTGCAATATAAACCGGTAACCTCACAACTCCACACTTCATCACCATATGAAGTAAATGAAGCTAGCTAAGCGGATGCTATATCGACTAGTAACTTGCCATTAAGGATTATTTTATAGCATGACTTTAAACTATTTATTCAAATGATATTTTACTCTTGTTATTCATTTTGTTTTAGATTCGTGACATGAATATTTCAGTGCTGCTTAATTTCGTTCTGATGAATCTTTGTTTCTTGCTTGTAAATGGCTTTTTTATGGTATAAATAAAGTAAATGGAAATTGCTGTTTGTAAATAAAAATGCTGCTAGAGCAAATATGCTGTCTTCTCCTTCTGTGTCTCTCCCACCCCCACCCCACACACATATACTAGCTTCCTTGCATCTCATTGGCCCTCACCCACATCTGCGACATCTCAGTGTCTAATCACTGTTTCTGAAAGGTTAAGATTTCCTAAGAAGCTTTTATGCCACCATTGTGCTGGGAAGAGGAGAAAGAAGCAGATGTGTGATGCAGACTGGATTACGAGGAACGGTGGTTGGCACCCAGCCTTCTGCAGAACAAATTACTGCTACTGACACTTCACATCCTCTCAAAAAGTGCTCCCCGCCCACCCCCAAATGCATCTTGTTTACTGAACCTCAGAACTTGGAGTGACATTTGTTTCCTCTCTACTGCCTCCTCCCTCCAGTCAGCGAACACCTCGTGCTTCAACTTGGGTGCCAGCCGGCCTTCCTCAAGGAACCCTGCCCTGCACCCTCCTTGTAGGTCCGAGTTCCCTGGAACAGACTTTTATCGTCCTGTCCCCCTGCCCTTCAGAACACTTCACTTTACCGGTCTCTGTTCCTTCCGGTGGCCGTGCAAGAACTGTTTCTCTTTGCTATAAGCACCATGAGATCAGAGATCTCAGTTTTTATCACCAATACAAGGGAGCTTTGAACTTTTGGGAAAATTCCCTATATCTCTTCATTCCATCCTCCAAGAACTTTTTGGAATCTCTCGTATATCTTAAGCCAGAAGCAGGTCGCACGCAGAAGGTGCCCAGTATGTCTTTGTTGACTGAATGAGCAGGTGCATGAATTCCGGAGGGTGGGGCTGGGAAGCAGAGTGGGATCGAACTTGGCGCCTGTGGTGCTAGGAGAAGACTTGCTGCATGTACTGAAGGAACATCTGCTGTAAAGTATGATCTCTACCTTCTCACTAGGACTTCTTTAGAGTTGGTGGGCAAAGGGTACCTGGTGTACTAGACTGAGTCATCTGTGCAGGAACCTGCTGCCCTCACTAGCTGTGGCCCTGGAGACTCCTGAGGTGCAGAAGGGGATGATGGAGAAAGTACACTGAATTGTGAGTCTGGTGATTGGGTTTCCAGTCCTGACGCCACTTGACTATCTGGACCTGGAGCAAACCCTCGGCCTGCTTTAGCCCCAGTTTCTCTACAATAAGGGAGCTGTAATTGTGAGCCTCAGGTCTGATGTGCAGCAATGACTTCCAATAGATTGCTTATTCCCTAAGGTTGGCAGAATAGCCCAGAATGAAAAGACGAGCCTCATCAACAGGAGGGTTAGAGCACTCCCAAGAGGATGAAGTCCTGGCAATGGAAGCACCAGCCGAAGCAGATACAGAGTAAATAGACCAGACAGAGGTGCCCTGCTGGCCAAAGACCATCAGCTCTTTATTTATTCTGAGGTGATGACCTATCTTTGCCTCTAGTTACAATTCATACAAATGTTGACCAAGCTTGCTTATGATGTCCTTTATAATGTTCAAGGATTATCACCCATCCCTGACTTACCTTGTTAGCCAGATCAAAGCCCTGAAGCCTCAACTGAACATTTAAACGTCTCTTGGTACTTTCCATAGCAAGTCTAGTTTGCACACCTTTTGTGAGGAAATGAGGCCCAGAACTTTTCATGGCACAAAATAAATGGCAAGGAGGCCATTGTAAAGGAAATGAGTGTTGTAGAACACAATGCACTTGGGATAGCGCCAGGGACCCCTTCCTTACTGGGGGAGTATAGTGATTGAGCAGAAGTGTCCAGCGGAGCTTGCTGCTCCTTTGGTCAAGAAAGCTATCATTACTCTGTGTATTTGGAGCAAAGCAAACAAAGCAGGCAACCTCCCTGAGCGGTTCAAAGCTGCCTCCCTCTCCTTGTCTGAGATGGCCCCTCCCTTTGTGGTCTTTGAGGGGACTCCTTTTGTTCCTGCCTCTGCCCTAATTCGGTGTGGACTTCATCAAGCTAGGGTCTGGCGGGGCCTCTGAGGGGAGCAGCAACATCCCCTTCTTGGACGAGTAGGACTAACCAGGTACTGCTGCCATTGTGCAGGTCATTCCGGTTCTTTAGGCTTGGCCCCGGTGGTGACAAAAACCCACCTCGGGCTTTGCTGTGGAGGCAATGAGGTCCTGAGCATTAGTGTTTCTTCATTTTGATCTCAGCCTTGGCTCATGAGTAGGTACCCTTCTCATTGTCCCAATACAAGATTTGCCTGTCACTCCCTGGTGGCTATGCGTGGCCAAGCTCCATGCGCCTCCCGGCTCGAATGGATTCTGTAGGTTTGCTCTCACCACCTTCAGGTGCTGTGTGTATGTGCCTGTCTCAAGAGTGCTGAGTGGGTAGAGACCTCACAGGCAATGAATCCTCATAATAACGGGTAGGGCCCCATCCTTCACGGTACTGGCACTCCTACAGTAGTTCCACAAACACTCTCCAGTTTCTTCTCTGCTCATGGAAACTGACTGCTTCTCAAGTTAACTGCATCATGAGCAATGGCAGAAAGCCCTTCATTACCTTCAGTCCAAACTCTGGGCTCTTTGTCCTACTCCATAAGGCCACTGGCCACACCAGACTCATCGCCATCAAGTTGATTGTGACTCATAGCCAACCTATTGGACAGAGTAGAACTTCCCCATTGGGTTTCCCAGACTGCAAATCTTTACAGGAGTAGAAAGCCTCATCTTTCTCCCATGGAGCAGCTGGTGGTTTCGAATTGCTGACCTCATGGTTAAAAGCCCTACATATAACCCACTATGCCACCAGGGCTCCTAGGCCCACTAAATGCTTTAAATATCTCACAACATTCTCAACTCTGTCTAGCTTTTTCTTGGGGCTGCTCTAGGCTAATGAGACTCTTGGCTCTTTTATGTAGCGTCTTGGCCATAAGAACACACATTTTCCCACTCTTGCTGCTGCTATCCACCCCCTGCCCCAGCCCCTATTTCAGGGCTTCACAAATATTGCAGAGGGACACATTTCTGAGAAGCGATCGGAATTTTATTGGAACCAGCATAGTGGAGTCCATAACTTGGATGAACACTTCTTTAGCAAACAAGTTATTTGTGTGACTTTTACTTTAATCTGTCTCTCTGCCAGTTGATCTGTCCAACACACATCTGGATTCTTGGACCTGTTATCAGTTCATTCCCTTCCCCCTCCTTCTCAGTCCCTTCACTTCTTTCCCTGGCTTCCCCAAATATTAGTGTGGGAATTAAAGCCCTTACTTTTGGAGGCCTGGCCTCTCTGAGCTCAGACTCTTGTGTCTGAATTCCCTCCAGGTTCTCACTTCGTTCCCCTGGAGAGTGTCCTCTCCCTTTGATTACTGATTCCTGCTCTCCCCATGCGCTTACTTTTTGGGGGAGCTGGCCTTAAGCTTACTGATACCGCTGGCTCACTAACTCAGCTGAGAAAGGAGATCCTAGCTTGCTTGTACATCATCATTGCAGAAGGAACGCTCTCGGGCCAGTTGCGAAATGCTTTCATACCAATTCTTCTTTGCCCTTTCAACACAACTGCTTTCCTCATACCCATGGTTCTTCACTCCTTGCCCACTGCACCCTGGCTAGACTGGTGGTGAAATGGGAATGAATGTTCCTAGGCATTTGATAACTAAGCTTCCAGTTCCCTTTTTTGTTTCCACCAGGGGCCTCCTCCTGCCAGTCTCTGTTGAAAGGTCTCATTTCCAATTCTGTGGTCAGGTGAATACTAGAGGTTTCCACCCTGAAGGTAAGCCTTTACCCTTTGTAAAAATG